AATTTTTGTCGATGAACTGTCCACGTTAGTGTTCTTAATTCTAGGCTACTCACGACGGAGTTACTAATTTGTAGCAGTCCCATATCGAAGTTGAATTCTGAGTTTTTTGTTTTTTTTACTGGATAATATTCCATTCGATAATAATAATAAAAAATAAAATGATGACAATACAAGCTAGAATTACACTTGATTCTTATTTGGGAACATTTGCAAAAACATGGAAAATGCCGTTACTGTTGCTCTTGAATTTGTCACATAAATTCTATTCTCAATTTAATTAAACATAGTCTTACTATCTAAAATTCATAAAATTTTCCAGATGATTTGTGCAAATCTAAAACCTATTGTACTTTAATAATATATTTTTGTAATCGGAAGAAAACGAACAATGTTCCTAATTTACTAGAACTCAGAGTAAAGACAAGATAAGTGAACGTTTAATTTAATTTATTCTGTATTCATGCTCTGTCTTTTGATATCGAGCACTATAATTTCAAAGACTGCCTTAAAAAAACACGATCTTTCAGAAATACCCTGGTTGGTCGTTTTTTGGTAAAAAATTAAATTTGTGTTATCATTAATATCCCACCTATGTAATTAATAGAGAAACATTTGATTAAGTGCTTTGACAAGGTAGGAAAGTCTATTGAAAAAAAAAAAGAAAGCAATATTTGCTGTGTAACATGAATGTTCCTTTCAGCTACTGTTGTAGATTTGTATCTACTTGGGGTAAAATAACTTATTAAATCGATTCGCTAGATTTACTTGATAGTTGTGGTGAGTCAACTGATGACCTATTTGCACTGATATGAACTAAAGTTAAATACGTATGCCTTTGAAAAATTAATAAATTTATTCTCGAATGAAAATCAATCCGTCGTGACATTTGGTTCAGTGTAAACATATGTAATAGATTCACTGAATCACAAAATTTGTACGGCGAAGAAAAATAAATTTACTTGACAGCAGTCCACTTGAATTATACTCAGACTGAGTTTAGGCAAATTGTTGAGGCGCTTAAATAATATAAAATGAAATATTTAAAAATTTAATTTCTAAATAAATAAAAATAGTTATTTTTTTAAAACTCCAAAAAGTTGATTTCTCAGTAGTATTAACTTACTTACCAGTTCATTATTTTCATCTAATTACTGATGAAGCATTCCACATGATTATGCCTGGCTTTTGGAGATTTCAAATCAGATGCAGTACCTCTCTATTGCAGGAAAAGAAGGGTCGTAGCTAGCATTGACATCTTTCCGGCTCTGGCCACATTTTTGCTTCTCAGGCGAATGACCAGGTAGTAGCCAACACCTATTTCAAGAACACCCAAAATGAATATGGGCACGGAGAAGCTCAAGAGGAAAAAGAAGGTAAAAAACAAATTGATTACATGACTATCAACAAGAGATTCAGAAATGCAGTTTTACACTGCAACTATGGAAGCGATCACCCTACAGTGATATGTAAACTTAGAGTGAAACTACAGAAATTGAAGAGGACTAAGGCAGTACCCAAATTGCAATACGATACTCTTGAACGACCAGATCCAAAAGAGAAATATATGGATAGTGTGAAAAGTAGATACAAGGGTAAAATGAAAATGGAAACTCGAAGTGGGACACAGAAAGTGAAGCTTTAGTAACATCAGCAATCAAAATTATCCCAAAGTAAATTAGACAAATATATAAATAGATAACAGTTGAAATTCTCGACATGATGAAAGGGAGACGAATAACAATGCCAAGATATGGCACAGAATATAGGACACTAAACAAAGAAATAAGGAGCAAATTCAGGTAGACTAAAGAGGAATGACTCAACGAAAAATGTGTGGAAATAGAAAGAATGAGTATCACAAATAAAGCAGATATGCATAAAAAAAATAAGAGAATTATCAGGACAAAAACATGATCATCAATAGGATGCATAAAATCCAAGGACGGAACGCTGATATTAGAGAAAGACAAAATACTTCAGAGATAGAACGAACATATCGGATAACACTTCCATGACGAAAGAGAACAACCAGCAATATACAGAAATATCGACGGACTGGAAATATTAAAATCTGAAGTGAAATGTGCACAGGTCAGTTTGAACTAAAACAAATCATCAGAGCAAGACGGACTTGTAATAAAGATGCTTACAGCCTTAGATGATTTCAGCATAGACAAGATTACAGAAATAATAAATTAAATCTATAACAGTGGTGAAATACCGGAAGACCTAAGTAGATCTATTTCCATAGTACTGCCTAAGAAACAAAGTGGAAAAGAATGTGAACTCCATCGAACAATCTGCCTAATGAGCCATATAACAAAACTTATCATCCGAACTCTGATGAATAGAGCGCGCAGCAGAATCAGACAGGAACATTGTGGGTACATCAAAGACACTGGAACAAGGAACGCGATATTTATGCTCAGAATGTTATAAGAAAGAGCAAAACAAAGACAGAAGGACGTGTACCTGTGTTTTATAGATTACACAAAGACGTTCGATAAAGTACACCACAAAAATGTATTGGAACTGCTTAGCAAACATGACATATTTGGGATGGCTATTAGAATAATCAAAAACCTATACTAGCAGCAAACTGCCTGCATACGGACAGAAAATGTGCTCAGCAGATATACAAAAAAGAAAGGTGTGTAAGACAAAGATATGTCTTCTTACCGGACTTATTCAACCTAATCAGCGAGGCGATTCTAAGATAATTAGAAGTCCTACCAGGATTCATTATTGGCGGCCACAATCTCAGCAACATAAAATATGCAGATGTCACAGTGTTGATAGCAGACACGGAAAGAAAGCCACAAAAACTCCTATAGAAGGTAGTGAAGGAAAACGAGAAGAAAGGATTAAACATCAACTTTAATAAGACAAAATGCATTGTTGTTAGTAAAAAGATGAGCCCAAAGTGCGAATTGCAAATCGGAGATACCAAAATCAAACAAATACAAAAATGTAAATACCTAGGAACAGAGAATGGAAAGTGTGACATTGAAACCTGAAGGCCCATTGGGATAGCTAAAGATGCATTCCAAAAGCTAAACAGGATATTAAGAAATAGGAAAACTTCACTAGAAAAAAGAAAAAGAATAATAAACTATTACATGATATCTGTCCTCCAGTATAGCAGACAATTTCCTCAAAGATAAAGAAGAAACTTGAAGCAACAGGAATGTAGTCTTTCAGAAGGATGCTGAGGATACCATGGACCTATTATGTGAGCAAAGACGAAGGTTGAGAGAAAATGGAAACAAAAAGGAAACTTATATTTAACATCAAGAAGAGACAGTTGAAATTTATAGGACGCATAATGAAGAAAGTGGGCTTGGAAAATTTGATACTTACGGGGCAGATTGAAGGCAAGAGGTACAGAGTGAAATAACGCTAACATACTTAGTGAGCTTGAGTAAATGGATGGTGGAACAGGGTTTAGGAGAAATAACAAAAAGACAAATTAATTAACAGCTACAAAGGACAGGAAATTGTGGAGAGCTATGATCACCTACTTCCTGTGTGGAAACGGCACATAAAGAAAAAGAACTCGTATGTACGCATATGGGGCCCCAAATTAAACCAGACGTGTTGAATTTATCTTGATTATAGGCATTATTTAGCTGGTTGGACGTTTCAAGTTTCTCTCTAGTTCAGTCGAGAAAGTGTACCGTTTATCACATTAAGTGTCCCATTTATCTCATTACTGAAACTGCTAACAGGTTAGCAATTTTATAACATTTCTACGAATTAGTCATATTTATATCTTTCTCATTCTCTTAAGATGGCCCATTTCTTTTTTATTTTCATTTCCTCTTGTTTTACTCAGTCTTAGCACGACACAATATGCGTTTCTCGAAACCGAACTCTGAAATCATTGCTGTAATTATTATTATTATTATTATTATTATTATTATTATTATTATTGTTATTATTCATTGAGTTTTCATTCATGGAATAAGTGGTGTCTTTCACTAGACGTTAAGTGACAGCAAGTATTCAGTACTCTTTTCAGTCCTCTTAATATTTTATTGGATTTTAGTAATTATATTATCTAGAATGCTTCCTCGCAATTTCAGTTCTTTAAAACTTTTTGCATGGTCCATATTTTAAGTGTGCTAATAACGAATGTATTATTGATTTCTTTTTTTTTATTCTATTACTCATAGAGTATTTATACAACCAGTAACCAGTAACTGATACAGGAGATTAAGTAAAATTACTACACTAGAACTTTTATTTATTTAGCTATTTTCAACAATGCCATCGTATAGATAGTCCCAACTTTTCTCCAATTTCTAGTTCGTCCTTATTTCTAGATTTTCGGGGTCGTTCCCAGAACTCCGATAACGACTTCCACACTCATGTTCCACAACATGCTCAGTTCTTTGTAAAGTTCGAGATCTACCTTTTCAGTTTCCTTCTAATCTGTTGCAACAGCAGTTTTGTATCTTTCTCCTACTTGCTTACAACTACCTGATCCAGTTTTCTGACCTAGATTGTGTCAATTTCAAACTCCCAAAGGATTTTATGGGCTTCATTCTCCTAGAGAGATTCTTTTTGTGCATATGTTAATAAGACCATTATTATAATTGTTACTACTGCTGCTGTGTCTTCCTACACGATGAAGCTATTGGTTATCGTTGGAGATCAATTAATAGCAAATGTTCCACGATATGGTGTTCTGTTTTGATTTTCATTCTTCCAATCTCAACAACGTTACTGTCTGTATTTAAATACGCTCATAGCTCTTCATTAGTTCAAGAGACGCCAAAATTAGTTGAAATCTTTTCACGAGTTTCTTTGTGGGCCATTTGAGATCTGTTGCGGTGATTGCCACTACGATGGAAAAAAAGGTAAACGTGAAACTTAGCTGAAATTTATTCAGAAGTATCTTTGTGGGCCATTTAAGTTCTGTTGCGGTGAGTTCCACTACGGTGGGAAAAAGGGAAACGTAAACTTAGTTGAAATCTCTTCGCGAGATTCTTTGTGGGCTATTTGAGTTCCGATGCGGTGATTGCCACTACGGTGGGAAAAAGGGAAACGCCAAACTGAGTTGAAATCTCTTCACGAGTTTCTTTGTGGGCGATTTGAGTTCTGTTGCAGTGAGTTCCACTACGGTGGGAAAAAGGGAAAAGGCCAAAATTAGCTGAAATCTCTTCACGAGTTTCTTTGTGGGCCATTTGAGTTCTGTTGCAGTGAGTTCCACTACGGTGGGAAAAAGAAAAACGAAAAATTTAGTTGAAATCTCTTCACGAGATTATTTGTGGGCCATTTGAGTTCTGTTGCGGTGATTGCCACTACGGTGGAAAAAAAGGGAGACGCTAAACTTAGTTGAAATCTCTTCACGAGTTTCTTTGTGGGTCATTTGAGTTCTGTTGCGGTGATTGCCACTACGGTGGGAAAAAGGGAAACACCAAAAGTATTTGAAATTTCTTCACAAGTTTCTTGTGGGCTATTTGAGTTCTGTTGCGGTGATTGCCACTACGGTGGGAAAAAGGGAAACGCCAAACGTAGTTGAAATCTCTTCACGAGATTTTTTGTCGGCTATTTGAGTTCTGTTGCGGTGATTGTCACTACGGTGGGAAAAAGGGAAACGCAAAACTTAGTTGAAATCTCATCACGAGTTTCTTTTGGGCCACTTGAGTTGTGTTGCGGTGAGTTCCACTACGGTGGGAAAACGGGAAACGCAAAACTTAGTTGAAATCTCTTCACAAGTTTCGTTGTGGGCTATTTGAGTTCCGTTGCGGTGATTGCCACTACGGTGGGAAAACGGGAAACGCCAAACGTAGTTGAAATCTATTCACGAGTTTCTTTGTGGGCTATTTGAGTTCTGTTGCGATGTTTGCCACTACAGCGGGAAAAAAGGGAAACGCAAAATTTAGTTGAAATCTCTTCACGACATTCTTTGTGGACCATTTGCGTTCTGTTGCGGTGATTGCCACTATGGTGGAAAAAAAGGGAAAGGCCAAACTTAGTTGAAATTTATTCACGAGTTACTTTGCGGGCCATTTGGGTTCTGTTGCGGTGAGTTCCACAACGGTGGGAAAAAGGGAAACACCAAACTTAGTTGAAATATCTTCACGAGCCTCTTTGACGGCGATTTGAGTTCCGTTGCGGTGAGTGCCACTACGGTGGGTAAAAAGGAAACGCCAGACTTAGTTGAAATCTCTTCACGAGTTTCTTTATGGGCCATTTAAGTTCTGTTGCAGTGAGTTCCACTACGATAGGAAAAAGGGAAACGCCAAACTTAGTTGAAATCTCTTCACAAGTTTCTTTGTCGGCCATATGAGTTCTGTTCGGTGAGTTCCACTAAGGTGGGAAAAAGAGAAACGCCAAACTTTGCCAATCTCTTCACTTCCTTTGAAATTTGAGTTCTGTTGCAGTTTCCACTACGATGGGAAAAAGGAAACGCAAAATATTTGAAATTCATCACGAGTTTCTTTGGTGCCATTTGAGTTCCACTACCACTACGGTGGGAAAAAGGAAACGCCAAACTTAGTTGAAATGTCCTCTTTACATTTGAGTTCAGTTTGGTGATAGCCATTACGGTGAAAAAAGAAAAGCGCCAAACTTTTGTTCTTCACGAGCTTCTTTGACGCCTATTTGAGTTGCACCACTACGGTGGGAAAAAGGAAACGCCAAACTTTGTTGAAAAATATTCCCGTGTTTCTTTGTGGGCCATTTCAGCTCTGTTGCGGTGATTGCCACTACGGTGGGAAAAAGGGAAACGCCAAACTTAGTTGAAATCACTTCACGAGTTTCGTTATGGGCCATTTGAGTTCTGTTGCAATGAGTTCCACTACGGTGGGAAAAAACGTTAGTTGAAATGTCCACTGTTCGGTGAGTTCCACTAAGGGGAAAAAAGGCCAAACTTAGCTTCAAATTTGAGTTCAGTTGCAGTTAGTTGAAATCACTTCAGGAGTTTCTTTGTGGGCCATTTGAGTTCTGCTGCCGTGATTTCCACTACGGTGTGAAATAGGGAAACGCCAAACATATTTGAAAACTCTTCACGATTTTCTTTGTGGGCCATTTGAGTTCTGTTGCGGTCATTGCCACTACGGTGGGAAAAAAGGAACGCCAGACGTATTTGAAATCTCTTCACGAGTTTCTTAGTGGGCTATTTGAGTTGTGTTGCTGTAATTGCCACTACGGTGGGAAAAAGGGAAATGCCAAACTTACTTGAAATCTCTTCCCGAATTTTTTTGTGGGCCATTTGAGTTCTGTTGCGGTGAGTTCCACTACGGTGGGAAAACGGGAAACGCCAAACTTAGTTGAAATTTCTTCACGAAATTTAAGTTCTGTTGCGGTGATTGCCACTACGGTGGGAAAAAGAAAACGCCAAACTTAGTTGAAATCTCTTCACGAGTTACTTTGTGGGCCATTTGAGTTCTGTTGCGGTGATTGCCACTACGGTGGGAAAAAAGAAAAACGCCAAACGTAGTTGAAATCTCTTCACGAGTTTCTTTCTGGGCCAATTGAATTCTGTTGCAGTGAAAAGGAAACGGCAAACTTAAAAATCTCTTCACAAGTTTCTTTGTGGGCCATTTGAGTTCTTTTGCGGTGAGTTCCACTACGGTGGGAAAAAGGAAACGCCAAACTTAGTTGAAATCTCTTCATGAGTTTCTTTGTGGGCCATTTGAGTTCTGTTGCAGTGAGTTACACTACGGTGGGAAAAAGTGAAAGGCCAAATTTACTTGGAATCACTTCACAAGTACCTTTGTGGGCCATTTGAGTTCTGTTCGGTGAGTTCTACTAAAGTGGCAAAAAGAGAAACGCCAAACGAAGTTGAAATCTCTTCACGAGTTTCTTTGTGGGCCATTTGAGTTCTGTTGCGGTGATTGCCACTACGGTGGGAAAAAGGGAAACGCCAAACTTAGTTGAAATCTCTTCACAAGTTTCTTTCTGGGACATTTGAGTTCTTTTGCGGTGAGTTCCACTACGGTGGGAAAAAGAAAAACGCAAAACTAAGCTGAAATCACTTCAGGAGTTTCTTTGTGGGTCATTTGAGTTCTGCTGCCGTGATTTCCACTACGGTAGGAAATAGGGAAACGCCAAACATATTTGAAAACTCTTCACGATTTTCTTTGTGGGCCATTTGAGTTCTGTTGCGGTGATTGCCACTACGGTGGGAAAAAGGGAAACGCCAAACGTAGTTGAAATCTCTCCACGAGTTTCTTTGTGGGCCAATTGAGTTCTGTTGCAGTGACTTCCACTAAGGGGGGAAAAAGGGAAACGGCAAACTTAGTTGAAATCTCTTCACAAGTTTCTTTGTGGGCCATTTGAGTTCTTTTGCGGTGAGTTCCACTACGGTGGGAAAAAGAAAAACGCCAAAGTTGAAATCATTTCAGGAGTTTCTTTGTGGGCCATTTGAGTTCTGTTGCCGTGAGTTCCACTACTGTACTACTGTACTGATGCGGCATTCACCCTGGCTGGATTGAGCCGGCTTCTTCCTGTTATGAGAAGAAGTTTCTTGGGTTAAATTACAGAATAAGGGTACCCAGGCCTACACGAATAACGTTCTTGCTTGCCGCGGGATTCCCACAGATGCAGAGACAGGAACGACCAGAAGCCGCCGGTTACCGATGCAGACGCTCCTTGGATTTTCACCAGAGCCCTTCTTAGCCGGCGTGTGTGTCAGACCTGTCCGCCTTGGGTGGCCCTACCAGGAACGAAGTTCCGGGCGGCATAGCTCTGACACTACCGTTTACACCCCGCCACCGACTGTGAGGTAAGGGTTGGACTTTGGGGGCTTACAGTACCAGGTGTTCCCAAGCGGTCCCCCATCTAAGTACTGACCTGGCTCTACGATGCTTAACATCGATGATCGAACGAGAACCGGTATTTCAGCGTGATTTGACCGTAAGCAGAACCGGTGTTTCAGCGTGATTTGACCGTAAGCGTGAGTTCCACTACGGTGGGAAAATGGGAAGCGCCAAACATATTTGGAAACTCTTCACGAGTTTCTTTGTGGGACATTTGAGTTCTGTTGCAGCGACTTCCACTACGGTGGGAAAAAGGGAAACGCCAAACTTAGTTGAAATCTCTTCACGAGTTTCTTTGTTGGCCATTTGAGTTCTGTTGCGGTGATTGCCACTACGGTGGGAAAAAGGGAAACGCCAAACTTAGTTGAAATCTCTTCACGAGTTTCTTTCTGGGCCAACTGAATTCTGTTGCAGTGACTTCCGCTAAGGTGGGAAAAAGGGAAACGACAAACTTAGTTGAAATCTCTTCACAAGTTTCTTTGTGGGCCATTTGAGTTCTTTTGCGGTGATTTCCACTACGGTGGGAAAAAGTGAAAGGCCAAATTTACATGAAATCTCTTCACAAGTTTCTTTGTGGGCCATTTGAGTTCTGTTCGGGGAGTTCCACTAAGGTGGCAAAAAGAGAAACGCCAAACGTAGTTGAAATCTATTCAGGAGTTACTTTCAGGTCCATTTGAGTTCAGTTGTGGTGATTGCTACTACGGTGGGATAAAGGGAACCACCAAACGTAGTTGAAATCTCTTCACGAGTTTCTTTGTGGGCTATATGAGTTCTGTTGCGGTGATTGCCACAACAGTGGGAAAAAGGGAAACGCAAAACTTAGTTGAAATCTCTTCACGACATTTTTTGTGGGCCATTTACGTTTTTGTTGAGGTGATTGCCACTAAGGTGGAAAAAAAAGAAACGCCAAACTTAGTTGAAATTTATTCACGAGTTACTTTGTGGGCCATTTGGGTTCAGTTGCGGTGAGTTCCACAACGGTGGGAAAAGGGAAACGCAAAATTTAGTTGAAATCTCTGCACGAGCTTCTTTGACGGCTATTTGAGTTCCGTTGCGGTGATTGCCACTACGGTGGGAAACAGGGAAACGCCAAACTTAGTTGAAATCTCTTCACGAGTTTCTTTGTGGGCCATTTGAGTTCTGTTGCAGTGAGTCCCACTATGATGGGAAAAAGGGAAAAGCCAAATTTACTTGAAATCTCCTCACAAGTTTCTTTGTCGGCCATTTGAGTTCTGTTGCAGTGACTTCCACTAAGGTGGGAAAAAGGGAAACGGCAAACTTAGTTGAAATCTCTTCACAAGTTTCTTTGTGGGCCATTTGAGTTGATTGTGAATACGGTGGGAAAAAGGAAACGCCAAACTTAGTTGAAATCTCTTCCCGAGTTTCTTTGTTGGCCATTTGAGTTCTGTTGCAATGAATTACACTAGGGTGGGAAAAGGAAAGGCCAAATTTAGTTGAAATCACTTCACAAGTTTCTTTGTGGGCCATTTGAGTTCTTTTCGGTGAGTTCTACTAAAGTGGCAAAAAGAGAAACGCCAAACGAAGTTGAAATCTCTTCACGAGTTTCTTTGTAGGCCATTTGAGTTATGTTGCAGTGTGTTCCTCTACGGAGGGAAAAAAGGGAAACGGAAACTTAGTTGAAATCTCTTCACGAGTTTCTTTGTGGGCCATTTGAGTTCTGTTGCAGTGAGTTCCACTAAAGTGGGAAAAAGAGAAACGCCAAACTTAAGTTGAAATCTCTTCACGAGTTTCTTTGTGGGCCATTTGATTTCTGTTGCAGTGTGTTCCTCTACGGAGGGAAAAAAGGAAACGGAAACTTATTTGAAATCTCTTCACGAGTTTCTTTGTGGGCTCATTTGAATTCTGTTGCAGCGATTGCCACTACGGTGGGAAAAAGGGAAACGCCAAAAGTATTTGAAATCTCTTCACGAGTTAATTTGTGGGCCATTGGGGTTCTGTTGCGGTGAGTTTCACAACGGTGGGAAAAAGAGAATCGCCAAACTTAGTTGAAGTCTCTTCAGAAGTTTCTTTGTGGGCCATTTGAGTTCTGTTGCAGTGAGTTCCACTACGATGGGAAAAAGGAAAACGCAAAACATACTTGAAATCTCATCACGAGTTTCTTTGTGGGCCATTTGAGTTCTGTTGCGGTGAGTGCCACTACGGTGGGAAAAAAGGAAACGCCAAACTTAGTTGAAATGTCTTCACGAGTTACTGTGTGGGCTATTTGAGTTCTGTTGCGGTGATTGCCACTACGGTGGGAAAAAGGGAAACGTCAAAGCTAGTTGAAATTTCTTCAGGGGTTTCTTTCTGGGCCATTTGAGTTCTGCTGCGGTGATTGCCACTACGGTGGGTAAAAAAAGAAACGCCAAACATAGTTGAAATCTCTTCACGAGTTTCTTTGTGGGCTATTTGAGTTCTGTTGCGGTGATTGCCACTACGGTGGGAAAAAAGGAAACGTCAAACTAGTTGAAATTTCTTCCTGGTTTCTTTTTGTGGGCCATTTGAGTTCTGCTGCGGTGATTGCCACTACGGTGGGTAAAAAAAGAAACGCCAAACATAGTTGAAATCTCTTCACGAGTTTCTTTGTGGGCTATTTGAGTTTCGTTGCGGTGAGTGCCACTACGGTGGGAAAAAAGGAAACGCCAAACTTAGTTGAAAAATATTCCCGTGTTTCTTTGTGGGCCATTTGAGTTCTGTTGCAGTGAGTCCCACTACGATGGGAAAGAGGGAAACGCCAAATTTACTTGAAATCTCTTCACGAAGTTTCTATGTCGGCCATTTTAGTTTTGTTCGGTGAGTTCCACTAAGGTGGGAAAAAGGAAAACCCAAACTTAGTTAAAATCTCTTCACGAGTTTCTTTGTGGGCCATTTGAGTTCTGTTCTGTGATTGCCACGACGGTGGGAAAAGAGAAACGACAAACTTAGTTGAAATCTCTTTAAGAGTTTCTTTGTGGGCCATTTGAGTTCTGTTGCGGTGAGTGCCACTACGGTGGAAAAAAGGAAAACCCAAACTTAGTTGAAATCTTTTCCAAGTTTCTTTGTGGGCCATTTGAGTTCTGTTCGGTGAGTTCCACTAAGGTTGGAAAAAGAGAAACGACAAACGTATTTGAAATCTCTTTAAGAGTTACTTTGTGGGCTATTTGAGTTCTATTGCGGTGATTGCCACTACGGTGGGAAAAAAGGAAACGCCAAACTTAGTTGAAATATATTCCCAAGTTTCTTTGTGGCCATTTCAGTTGTGTTGCGGTGATTCCCACTACGGTGTAAAAAAGAGTAACGCCAAACGTAGTTGAAATCTCTTCATGAGTTTCTTTGTGGGCCATTTGAGTTCTATTGCGGTGATTGCCACTACGGTGGGAAAAAGGAAACGCCAAATTTAGTTGAAATCTCTTCATGTCTTTCTTTTGCGGGCCATTTGAATTCTGTTGCCTTGATTGCCACTACGGTGGGAAAAAGGGAAACGGCAAAATTAGTTGAAATCTCTTCACGAGTTTCTTTGTGGGCTATTTGAGTTCTGTTGCGATGAGTTCCACTACGGTGTAAAAGGGAAACGCCAACCTTGTTGAAATCTATTCACGAGTCTCTTTGTGGGCCATTTGAGTTCTGTTGCGGTCATTCCCACTACGCTGGGAAAAAGGGAAACGCCAAAAGTATTTGAAATCTCTTCACGAGTTTGTTTGTGGGCTATTTGAGTTCTGTTGCGGTGATTGCCACTACGGTGGGAAAAAGAAAAACGCCAAACTTAGTTGAAATCTCTTCACGAGTTTCTTTGTGGGCTATTTGAGTTCTGTTGCAGTGAGTTCCACTAGGGTGGGAAAAGGGAAACGCCAAATTTACTTGAAATCTCTTCGCAAGTTTCTTTTGTGGCCATTTGAGTTCTGTTCGGTGAGTTCCACTAAGGTGGGAAAAAGAGAAACGCCAAACGTAGTTGAAATCTATTCACGAGTTTCTTTGTGGGCCATTTGAGTTCTGTTGCGGTGAGTGCCACTACGATGGCAAAAAGGGAAACGCAAAACTTAGTTGAAATGTCTTCCCGAGTTTCTTTGTGTGCCATTTGAGTTCTGTAGCAGTGAATTCCACTAAGGTGGGAAAAAGGTAAAACGCCAAACTTAGTTGAAATCATTGTGGGCCATTGGAGTTCAGTTGCGGTGATTGCCTCTACGGTGGGGAAAAAATGAAAAGACAAACGTAGTTGAAACGTCTTCACGAGTTTCTTTGTGGGCTATTTGAGTTCTGTTTCGGTGATTGCCAATACGGTGGGGAAAAGGGAAACTCGGAACTTACTTACTTCACGAGTTTATTTGTGTGCCATTTGATTTCTGTTGCAGTGAGTTCCACTACGATGGCAAAAAGGGAAACGCCAAACGTAGTTAAAATCTCTTAACGAGTTTCTTTGCGGGCTATTTGAGTTCTGTTGCGGTGATTGCCACTATGGTCGGAAAAATGGAAACGCCAAACTTAGTTGAAATATATTCCCGAGTTTCTTTGTGGGCCATTTGATTTCTGTTGCGGCGATTGCCACTACGGTGGGTAAAAAGGAAAAGCCAAACTTAGTTGAAACGTCTTCACGAGTTTCTTTGTGGGCCATTTGAGTTCTATTGCGGTGATTGCCACTACGGTGGGAAAAAGGGAAACGCCAAATTTACTTGAAATCTCTCCACAAGTTTCTTTGTGGGCCATTTGAATTCTGTTGCGGTGATTGCCACTTCGGTGGGAAAAAGGGAAACGGCAAAATTAGTTGAAATCTCTTCATGAGTTTCTTTGTGGGCTATTTGAGTTCTGTTGCGGTGATTGCCACTACGGTGTAAAAAGGGAAACGCCAAACTTAGTTGAAATCTCTTCATGTGTTTCTTTGCGGGCCATTTGAATTCTGTTGCCTTAAGTTCCACTACGGTGGGAAAAAGGGAAACGCCAAAATTAGTTGAAATCTCTTCACGAGTTTCTTTGTGGGCTAGTTGAGTTCTGTTGCGGTGATTACCACTACGGTTGGAAAAAGGCAAACGCCAAACGTATTTGAAATCTCTTCACGAGTTTCTTTGTGGGCTATTTGAGTTCTGTTGCGATGATTGCCACTACGGAGGGAAAAGGAAAAACCCAAAACTTTGTTGAAATCTCTTCACGAGTTTCTTTGTGGGCTATTTGATTTCTGTTGCAGTGTGTTCCACTACGGTGGGAAAAAGGTAAACGCCAAATTTACTTGAAATCTCTTCACAAGTTTCTTTGTGGGCCATTTGAGTTCTGTTTGGTGAGTTCCACTTAGGTGGGCAATAGAGAAACGCCAAATGTAGTTGAAATCTCTTCACGAGTTACTTTTTGGGCTATTTGAGTTCTCTTGCGGTGAGTGCCACTAGGGTGGGAAAAAGGGAAACGCCAAATTAGTTGAAATCTCTTCACGAGTTTCTTTGTGGGCTATTTGAGTTCTGTTGCGGTGATTGCCACTACGGTGGGGAAAAAAGAAAAAGACAAACTTAGTTGAAACGTCTTCACGAGTTTCTTTGTCGGCTATTTGATTTCTGTTTCGGCGATTGCCAATACGGTAGGAAAAAGGGAAACGCCGAACTTAGTTGAAATCTGTTCCCGAATTTCTTTATGGGCCATTTGAGTTCTGTTGCGATGAGTTCCACTACGGTGAGAAAGGGGAAACGCCAACCTTGTTGAAATCTATTCACGAGTCTCTTTGTGAGCCATTTGAGTTCTGTTGCGGTCATTGCCACTACGCTGGGAAAAAGGGAAACGCCAAAAGTATTTGAAATCTCTTCACGAGTTTCTTTGTGGGCTATTTGAGTTCTGTTGCGGTGATTGCCACTACGGTGGGAAAAAGAAAAACGCCAAACTTAGTTGAAATCTCTTCACGAGTTTCTTTGTGGGCTATTTGAGTTCTGTTGCAGTGAGTTCCACTAGGGTGGGAAAAGGGGAAACGCCAAATTTACTTGAAATCTCTTCACAAGTGTCTATGTCGGCCATTTTAGTTTTGTTCGGTGAGTTCCACTGAGGTGGGAAAAAGGGAAACGCCAAACTTAGTTGAAATCTCTTCACGAGTTTCTTTGTGGGCCATTTGAGTTACGTCGCTGTGATTGCCACGACGGTGGGAAAAGTGAATCGCCAAACTTAGTTGAAATCTCTTCACGAGTTTCTTTGTGGGCCATTTGAGTTCTGTTGCGGTGAGTGCCACTACGGTGGGAAAAAGGGAAAACCCAAACTCAGTTGAAATCTCTTCACAAGTTTCTTTGTGGGCCATTTGAGTTCTGTTCGGTGAGTTCCACTAAGGTTGGAAAAAGAGAAACGACAAACGTATTTGAAATCTCTTTAAGAGTTACTTAGTGGGCTATTTGAGTTCAGTTGCGGTGAGTGCCACTACGGTGGGAAAAAAGGAATCGCCAAACTTAGTTGAAATATATTCCCGTGTTTCTTTGTGGCCCATTTCAGTTGTGTTGCGGTGATTCCCACTACGGTGTAAAAAGAGAAACGCCAAACGTAGTTGAAATCTCTTCACAAATTTCTTTGTGGGCCATTTGAGTTCTATTGCGGTGATTGCCACTACGGTGGGAAAATGGGAAATGCCAAATTTACTTGAAATCTCTTCACAAGTTTCTTTGTGGGCCATTTGAATTCTGTTTCGGTGATTGCCACTTCGGTGGGAAAAAGGGAAACGGCAAACTTTGTTGAAATCTCTTCATGAGTTTCTTTGTGGGCTATTTGAGTTCTGTTGCGGTGATTGCCACTACGGTGTAAAAAGGGAAACGCCAAACTTAGTTGAAATCTCTTCATGTCTTTCTTTGCGGGCCATTTGAATTCTGTTGCCTTAAGTTCCACTACGGTGGGAAAAAGGGAAACGCCAGTTTCTTTGTGGGCTAGTTGAGTTCTGTTGCGATGAGTTCCACTACGGTGAGAAAGGGGAAACGCCAACCTTGTTGAAATCTATTCACGAGTCTCTTTGTGGGCCATTTGAGTTCTGTTGCGGTCATTCCCACTACGCTGGGAAAAAGGGAAACGCCAAAAGTATTTGAAATCTCTTCACGAGTTTCTTTGTGGGCTATTTGAGTTCTGTTGCGGTTATTGCCACTACGGTGGGAAAAAGAAAAACGCCAAACTTAGTTGAAATCTCTTCACGAGTTTCTTTGTGGGCTATTTGAGTTCTGTTGCAGTGAGTTCCACTAGGGTGGGAAAAGGGGAAACGCCAAATTTACTTGAAATCTCTTCGCAAGTTTCTTTGTGGCCATTTGAGTTCTGTTCGGTGAGTTCCACTAAGGTGGGAAAAAGAGAAACGCCAAACGTAGTTGAAATCTATTCACGAGTTTCTTTGTGGGCCATTTGAGTTCTGTTGCGGTGAGTGCCACTACGATGGCAAACAGGGAAACGCAAAACTTAGTTGAAATGTCTTCCCGAGTTTCTTTGTGTGCCATTTGAGTTCTGTAGCAGTGAATTCCACTACGGTGGGAAAAAGGGAAACGCCAAACTTAGTTGAAATCATTGTGGGCCATTGGAGTTCAGTTGCAGTGATTGCCTCTACGGTGGGGAAAAAATGAAAAGACAAACGTAGTTGAAACGTCTTCACGAGTTTCTTTGTGGGCTATTTGAGTTCTGTTTCGGTGATTGCCAATATGGTGGGAAAAAGGGAAACGCGGAACTTACTTGAAATCTCTTCACGAGTTTCTTTGTGGGCCATTTGATTTCTGTTGCAGTGAGTTCCACTACGATGGCAAAATGGGAAACGCCAAACGTAGTTAAAATCTCTTAACGAGTTTCTTTGCGGGCTATTTGAGTTCTGTTGCGGTGATTGCCACTATGGTCGGAAAAATGGAAACGCCAAACTTAGTTGAAATATATTCCCGAGTTTCTTTGTGGGCCATTTGATTTCTGTTGCGGCGATTGCCACTACGGTGGGTAAAAAGGAAAAGCCAAACTTAGTTGAAACGTCTTCACGAGTTTCTTTGTGGGCTGTTTGAGTTCTGTTGCGGTGATTGCCACTACGGTGGGAAAAAAAGAGAAGCCAAACTTTGTTGGAACGTCTTCACGATTTTCTTTGTGGGCTATTTGAGTTCTTTTGCGGTGATTGCCACTACGGTGGGAAAAAGGGAAACGCCGAACTTATTTGAAATCTCTCCCGAGTTTCTTTGTGGTCCATTTGAGTTCTGTTTCGGTGAGTTCCACTACAGTGGGAAATAGGGAAACGCCAAACTTAGTTGAAATCTCTTCCCGAGTTTCTTTGTGCGCTATTTGTGTTCCGAAGCGGTGAGTGCCACTACGGTGGGAAAAAAGCAAACGCCAAACATATTTGAAATATATTCCCGGGTTTCTTTGTGTGCCATTTGAGTTCTCTAGCAGTGAATTCCACTACGGTGGGAAAAAGGGAAACGCCAAACTTAGTTGAAATATATTCCCGGGTTTCTTTGTGGGCCATTTGAGTTCTGTTGCTGTGATTGCCACTACGGTGGGAAAAAGAAAAACGCCAAACTTAGTTGAAATCTCTCCACGAGTTTCTTTGTGGGCTATTTGAGTTCTGTTGCAGTGAGTTCCACTAGGGTGGGAAAAGGGGAAACGCCAAATTTACTTGAAATCTCTTCGCAAGTTTCTTTGTGGCCTTTTGAGTTCTGTTGCGGTGAGTTCCACGAAGGTGGGAAAAAGAGAAACGCCAAACTTAGTTGAAATCTATTCACGAGTTTCTTTATGGGCCATTTGAGTTCTGTTGCGGTGAGTTCCATTACAGTGGGAAAAAGGGAAACGCCAAACTTAGTTGAAATCTCTACACGAGTTTCTTTGTGCGCTATTTGAGTTCCGTTGCGGTGAGTGCCACTACGGTGGGAAAAAGGAAACGCCACACATAGTTGAAATATATTCCCGGGTTTCTTTGTGGGCCATTTGAGTTCTGTTGCTGTGATTGCCACTACGGTGGGAAAAACTGAAACCCCAAACTTAGTTGAAATCACTCCCGAGTTTCTTTGTGTGCCATTTGAGTTCTGTTGCGGTGAGTTCCACTACAGTGGGAAAAAGGGAAACGCCAAACTTAGTTGAAATCTCTACACGAGTTTCTTTGTGCGCTATTTGAGTTCCGTTGCGGTGAGTGCCACTACAGTGGGAAAAAAGAAAACGCCAAACATAGTTGAAATATATTCCCGGGTTTCTTTGTGGGCCATTTGAGTTCTGTTGCTGTGATTGACACTACGGTGGGAAAAAGGGAAACGCCAAACTTAGTTGAAATCTCTTCACAAGTTTCTTTGTGGGCTATTTGAGTTCTGTTACGGTGATTGCCACTACGGTGGGAAAAATAAAAACGCCAAACTTAGTTGAAATCTCTTCACGAGTTTCTTTTTGGGCTATTTGAGTTCTGTTGCAGTGAGTTCCACTATGGTGGGAAAAGGGGAAACGCCAAATTTACTTGAAATGTCTTCCCGAATTTCTTTGTGTGCCATTTGAGTTCTGTAGCAGTGAATTCCACTACGGTGCGAAAAAGGGAAACGCCAAACTTAGTTGAAATCTCTTCACGAGTTTCTTTGTGGGCTATTTGAGTTCTGTTGCGGTGATTGCCACTACGGTGGGAAAAAGGGAAACGCCGAACTTATTTGAAATCTCTCGCGAGTTTCTTTTGGTCCATTTGAGTTCTGTTGCGGTGAGTTCCACTACAGTGGGAAAAAAGGAGACGCCAAACTTAGTTGAAATTTCTTCACGAGTTTCTTTGTGCGCTATTTGAGTTCCGTTGCGGTGAGTACCACTACAGTGGGAAAAAAGGAAAAGCCAAAAATAGTTGAAATATATTCCCGGGTTTCTTTGTGGGCCATTTGAGTTCTGTTGCTGTGATTGACACTACGGTGGGAAAAAGGTAAACGCCAAACTTAGTTGAAATCTCTTCACAAGTTTCTTTGTGGGCTATTTGAGTTCTCTTACGGTAATTGCCACTACGGTGGGAAAAATAAAAACGCCAAACTTAGATGAAATCTCTTCACGACTTTCTTTTTGGGCTATTTGATTTCTGTTGCAGTGAGTTCCACTATGGTGGGAAAAGGGGAAACGCCAAATTTACTTGAAATCTCTTCCCGAGTTTCTTTGTGGGCCATTTGAGTTCTGTAGCAGTGAATTCCACTACGGTGGGAAAAAGGGAAACGCCAAACTTAGTTGAAATCTCTTCACGAGTTTCTTTGTGGGCCATTGGAGTTCAGTTGCGGTGATTGCCACTACGGTGGGAAAAAGGGAAAAGACAAACTTAATTGAAACGTCTTCACGAGTTTCTTTGTGGGCTATTTGAGTTCTTTTTCGGTGATTGTGAATACGGTGAGAAAAAGGGAAACGCCGAACTTACTTGAAATCTCTTCCCGAGTTTCTTTGTTGGCCATTTGAGTTCTGTGGCAATGAATTCCACTAGGGTGGGAAAAAGGGAAACGCCATACTTAGTTGAAATCTCTTCACGAGTTTCTTTTTGGGCCATTTGAGTTCTGTTGCGCTGATTGCCACTACGGTGGGAAAAATCGAAACGCCAAATTAAAGGTTAAGGAATGAATATTCAGTTGGAGTAAATGCTTGATTTGCGTTGTAACATTTTTCTTTTTCTGCATTTCCTTTTTCGGTTTATGTTAACATCTCTACATCATTTTAAATGTCTATGTTTTCTTTTTCGTTGTTGTTCATTTTATTTTTTTATTCATTTTTATCCGATATTGAAGCAAAGATGAAAAAAAAGAGAACACTATTTTCTTATCTTTATATTCCATGATGGATGCACACTTAGTGCAACTGTTATTGCCACAGAAAATGGAATCGACGAATGGAGTTCAAATTTTGGCCCAGTTTGTTGCGTTCATCTTTGTATAAAAACATTGAGAAAGGCATGAATACATTCTTCCTCCCAGTTACGGGTTAAATAACAGTCTAGATCTGAATTAGTCTTGGGTGGCAATCAGTCAAAGAGAAGTAAAACTAGGAATCCCAATTTCTGTCTGAACTGAGCAGTAGTAAATAAGTGAACCGAATTTCTTAGCAGCTGATCTAGTGATGGATTCGGTGTAGTTTTTCCACCTCATGGAGGCTAACATTTTACCGTTTATTTTTTCGCACAACAGAGGTAAGAATTCCTGTATCGGTCTAGTAACACTGTTATATTCTTAATGTTTGTCCTTCTGCGGCGTTATAAGTCTAGGATATTTATGTATTTTTCAACCAATAGCGGAAGATTAACGAGTCTTATGTAGTATTTAAACTTGTTCTTCTTTGCCAGGAACCATCATATGTTAACTTATGCAATCGAGT